GTAGGGTTCTGCCCTAATACCTTTCCCTAAATTCTTCCAATGCCTTAAACCTCCCTTTCCCTGGGCTAAAGTAACACAGGCATTCAACAGCCGTTAATGTTCTCCATTCAGCAGGTCAAGTTCATTGTTGAGTGATATGATTTCTCCCCAGAAAGGACTTGGGGGTTTCTCACAATGAAAACTGTTACCAAAGTGAATAGTGTTATTAATAGGACTTCCAGAAAAAGAGCCCACCTGGATAGAGAAAGTTACTTGACATGAATACCAAATCATTCTTGTCCCATTTTATGCCCTCCCCCCTCTGCTTTGCCCTCCAGCTTTGAAGGTACTTTCTACATTAAGATTAGAACTGCGAAGGCCCCTCTGGGAAGGGAACTGAGAAATGTTGGGTCCGGTGTTCAGAAGTTCTAAATCACTCAGTCCTCTTGGGCCTTCCAATCCCTGAGGGGCTCTTGGGCTTCTAAGACAGCCAAACATCTAAGATGAAATAGATTGCTGTATTTGGACGAGAACAATTTAATGATCCAGAAAGTAGGGAACGCAGACAAAGGAGAAACTAAACAAGCTAACACTGCCCTCAGACAGAAAGCAATTGATTGAAGGTAAAAAATGTGGCAGTCCCAGGCAAAACAATCTGCTAACCTTTAAGAGCATAGGTTGTCCAGCTCCCAAAAAATAAATTTAAGAGCAGTGAATCTGGCAGGCAGAGGCAACCAGCAGAGAGACTGTGGTCCTGAAAAATGCCTTGAGTAGTACGTCTTTTCTAGACTTCGAGCTTCTCAAAGGCAGATCTCATATTTAACTCACAGCTGCTAGGGAAGAGACATAGAGAGTAAATGGAACTTTCAAACTGAAATGTGGATATCCTTGGACTTGTGCAGAGATTTTCAGGGAAGACAGTGGTGACCTGTATTTCTGAAGATATGAGATAGGAAAGGAAAGTGTTTTTGTTTTAAAACATGTGACTATATTATGAAAGAAGATGCAAAATTAGAGTGAATTCATCAGATGAAATATGAGAATTTAATATCAAAACAAAATAAATTAGGCAGAACTCTCAAAGACATTGGCATTTGAAAAGACTTTATGGGGCCAGGGATTTCGCTCAGCGGTTTGGTGGCCTGCCTTGCAAGCACAAGGACCCGAGTTCAATCCCCAGTACCAAAAAAAAAAAGGAAAAGACTTTATGAACAAATCCTCAGCAGCACAAGAACTTGCACAAAGAATCAATTGTATTAAAGAATCATTGTATTGAAGTTTTGCAATGAGAGAGATATTACCAACAGAGCTAAAAGATGACCTACAATATGGGGAAAAATTTTTACCAGCTACTCCTCAGACAAAGGACTACTATCTAGAATATATAAAGAACTCAAAAAAAAATCAGACCCCCCCCCAAATACAAAGACCTGATTTAAAAATGGGCATCTGAAATGAACAGACATTTCTGACGAAGAAGTAAAAGCAGCAGATAATCATATGAAAAAATGTTCAACAATACTGGTCATTTGAGAGATGTAAATGAAAACACTGAGATTCCACCTTACCCCAGAAAGAATGGCTGCTATCAAGAAATCAACCAATGACAAATGCTGGCAGGGTTGTGGGGAGAAAGGAACCCTTCTCCACTGTTCATGGGAGTGCAGACTGGTGCAACCACTGGGGAAATCAATATGGAGATACCTCAAATAACTAAGATTAGAGGTCCCTTTGACCCAGCTACTGCTCTGCTGGGTATCTTTCCAAAGGAATTAAAAGAATCATACCACAGTGATACATGCACATCCATGTTTATAGTGGCACAGTTTGTAATAGCTGAAACTTGGAAACAACCCAAATGTCCATCAACTGCAGACTGGATAAAGAAGATGTGGTTTTTCTATAAAATGGAGTACTACTCAGCCATAAAGAATGAGAAACTAGAGACATTTATAGCTAAATGGATGCACATTGAGGCTATCCTCCTAAGTGAAATAAATAGGACACACTTGAGTAAATACCGAATAGTTTCTCTGGTGTGAAAAACTAAAAATATAAATAAAGTTCAAATGGTATAATTGATAATGTAAAATAGGAAGAAAATGGCTAAAGGTGAAGTGGGAAGGGGAGAGGAAAGGAAAAGAAAAAATGTGAAAAAGGGAAAAATGGAAACAAAGTCTTTGTAAATAGGAAAATGTGAAAGGGGTGAAGTGAGGGCAGGGGTATGGGGAAAAAATAAGAACCAAGATATATCATGTAAAGGTACAAGACCCCAATGATAAATATAACTGTATTGTTTGCTTTAAATGTACCAATAAACTTAACAGGGAAAAAAAGAAATATGAGAATTTCATAAAATAACTACTAACGGCTAACTTCTCAGGACTCTTTTGGGCATTGGTTCTCAAATGTTAGGGTGTACCAATGCCACCTGGGTACTTGATAAATCTGCAGTCCTGGATCCCTCTCCAGAGACTCAGAATTCACTGCATGCTAACTAGTGTACCAAGTGATATCAAAGCAACCACACTCTCTGTGATCCTGCTTTGGGGAGGGATACCTACTCTTCCACTGTTTAGGTTTGTGTAAGTCCTGTGACAACACATGTAGATGCTTCCCAAGATGAGGGCACACATTGCCCAGATACCAGGCAACAGCAGCGTCTCAGGCTAACAGCTGCTTTCTTTTTTCTATGAGATTGTCTTCCTCTGAAAGGAGCTATCTTGCCCAGCCCAAGGTTCAGACCTGTCTCTGCAGGCAGCAACTCCTCCATGGGAAAGGTGGGGTGGAACGGAGACTGCGCAGGAGCTCAGCTTCCTTGCTCAGTTTGAGACAATGCGGATAGGCCAGCTTGGCTTCATGGCTCTTGATGAAACCTGCAGAGGCCTGTGTTGTACCTGCATTGCACTTCACCCTCCCCATCTGCTTGGTCTTGCCTTCCTCCCTTCCCTACAGGAGGTGCTTATGAGAGTGGAGACCTCTCTGCTTGAAGAGCCCAGTTTCAAGAGTCTGTTCCTAGGGAGCCTGGGCTAAAACAAGCATGCTGCAGGCAAGTGTGAGAAACAGATAGTGAAAAGTACACAGATTTGAGAAGTACATAAACTGAGGAATACTAATAATAACAACAGCAACAAATAATATTTATTGGGCTGCTACTGTTTTAAGTGCTTTATATTTGCTTTCTGCCTTAATCTTTATAATAACCCTATTCCTATCCTGACTTTACAAGTGAGAAGTTAAACAACTTACCCAAGGTCATACAGCTACTATATTGCAGGGATGGGGTTCAAATACATGCAGCCTGGTCCTGACTTTTCACCTCCGCCATCCATGGCTTCTCAGAGTCAAAATGTGGCTCTTTCACATGATAATTATGTGAACTTCCTAGGAGTGAACCCAATTGAGCCCAACGTCCTAATCTGTGATATACAGCAGGTAGTACCTATTTTGCAGATCATTTTGAGACTCACTTTTTGTCAAGTACCTAACAGGTGCTTGGTTCTAGTAGGTGGGTCTAATGATGGTTCACTCTTAACACGAATTCAGTGAACCCTTCTCAGGGGATGCAGGAAGGAAGTGGCTTCTCTAGTGGGAAGCCCTGAGCTGGCTGAGGTTCAGAGAAGATGAGAGAAAAATTGGCCAAGGAAATGAGAGGTGTGGGCTTAAGAGGAGATACGTCTGTGGAACAAGTTTAAGCAAAGGGATAAATAAATAGCACTTGTGCTCACATCTGCAGTTGTTGGGAAGGCAAGAATATCCACTCAGGAACTGAAGACATAGCAGAGAGTGCTGGATTCTAGGACAATGTAGGTGGTTTGGAGGGATCTGGGTACTGTAGCCATCAAACTCACATAATCCTCAGTTGAAACTGCTAGGTTTTAACTTGAAATGTGTCTCAGCCTTAAGTTGAAATGTGTCTGTCACAAAATACCCGTGTGATCCCAGAAAAATCAAATTTCTCTGGTCTTGGCCTCGTTTAAAAAGGAAAATCAGGACTTCGGTTTTTCAAGACTCTGCTAGATCAGAAAGGTAGCGACTGTATGAATCTTTAGCCTTACCTTAATTTGGGGAGAACTGCTAGCCCTCTGTGGTTTGTGGAGGGAAACCACAAACCACAAACCCAGTGGTAGATGTATTTCCTCCCCTAACCTCTTCCCCTGAATTTCACAGAAATCATTTTTAGAAGTTTTAGGTCAGTGTAATTCCAAGTTCAATTTTAAAATTTAGCACACAGCCAGTCACCCTTTTCCTACCTCCTCACTCTGCTGATCCCCTTGTATTACACATGGGAGTTTGTCTTGGAACATCTTCAAGGACAAGAATTTAACTCCTCCTTCTATTTCTATATCAAGTTTTTTTTTAAGATAATGTTAGGGAAAACGGGTCAATGTGAAATATCAGAATACCCTCAGTATTGATGACAGACCTTTCTTCCATCTCAGCCGTCCGGCCATTTCTGTCTCCCTCTCCTCTCCCCTCCCCTCCAGCTCCCTTTCACATTCTGTCCCACTCATACAGAAAGACACCCGAATCTGCATAGAGTGGTTTCCCACAAGGTTTAGTGTAGAAGGCCCCCCAGAGATTCTATTTGCTTTGCTATTTTTTCAAAGTCCAAGAAGCTCTGTCCCTCTGCTTCAAAATTATTTTTATCAAGGAAGCTACTTTGCAGAGATTGGGAATCAGACCACCACCCAGCTTTTGATTGAACCCTGACAAGAAGATGTTGAATGGCCCCTCTCTGTAAGTGGAATAATAGCTCTTCCTTTTCTTGATTGCTGTGAGCATTAGGTGAAGTAATTCATAGAAAGTACCCAACAATGTCTTATTCAAAGGACACATTCAAAAAAGCACTCAAAAGACTATTCTAATACCATTATTCATATTCCAGAAGATCTGATCTCTGTTTGATCTTGGAGGGCTAAGAAATGTCCTAACTGCTCAGTTCCTTTCCCTACCAGATCTCTTGGGCAGGAAACAGTTCTATATCCATGGTATTCTTTGTAAACCTTTCCTCTGCTTACCTCCTTGGGTGATAATCATTTGTTCCCTATACGCTGATTACTGTAAATAAGATTCTGCATTGATTCCATCTGCAAAGGCTCTCCTTCCTCTTCCTCCTTGAGATAACAGTACATGGTTAGACAGCAGCTTATTTCAGTAGTGCTGCAGTCGCTGATACATTTTAACTGTTCCTGGCCTCACATTCAGGGTCATGCAGGGTTGGTAGAATGAATGTTACAGAAAATAAAAATCAAATACACTGCCTGTAATCTCTCTCCACACAAGAACTCTTGCCTTCCACTTCACACTTGGCCAGATACTACTCTGAAACCTGCTCCTACTTGCTGTGAGTGCTGCTAACATCTGTGTTACTTTGGAGTACAGGGAATGGAAGCTTTGCAGCAGGAATATTTAAGAGAAGACCTGTGAACAAGTCCACTGTATTCTTGTCTCAGGGAGGACAAGTAGGCACACACAGATACTCCCGTGCACCTGACCTGGAGTGAGCCATGCAGGACCCATGCAGACTCTTGTTCATTGTAATTGGGAATCAGGTTTGCCTCTGGGATTCATGTAAAATCTCCAATTAGCCTCCATTCAGCAGAGAGAGTTGTCAACTTAACAGTACCTCATTATGGCTTCTAACTCCAAGTTTCAGGAATGTTGATCAAGGCAGTGGCCCTAGGTGGAAAAAGCTTAGGCTGGGGAGCCAGATCCATTTGGCTTTAAATAAAGTTTCTATCTGTGAGAGTTTAGGCAAGTTACTTTCTGGGGCCTGTGTTTCCTCATCTGAAGAACAGAGATCACAGAGAGTAGCTACCCTTACCAAGGATAGAATGAGCTATTACGGGCAAAAGGTTTGACCCTGTTCAGTAAGTGACAATTACTTACACTGTCTCTGTGGCCTTGAACAAACCTCTCAAATGGAAATAATAGGAAATGTTCAGAAAACTTCAGGGAGCTAGGGAGATGTAGGTTACCATTAGTATGTATTAAAAAGCACAGTGCATCTCTGAGGGCCTATGAGACCACACCTGCTATCTAAAACACTTATTGTCCCCCCACCCACAACTGACTGAATCCTGTATTAATTCTTTCATTCATTCACTCTAACGTTAGGCCAAATCTTGCTGGATGTTGATAGTGGAAGAAATACAATGAATATGACTCGGACCTAGACCTAGAGAGCTCAGAGACTGACTACTGTGTGAGACAGAACACTTAAATAACCTAGCCTTATGGGGAAAACTGGGAGTTGTTTGAACTGGAGAAGTACCAGCCTCCACCCCATTGCTATCCCTTACCCTGATGTCTTCCAGGGCTTCCTAAAAGATCCACCAAAGTTCTCAAATGCTGCCTCTGGCAAGTTTTCTTCAGGATCAGATGCTGTCTTGGGGAGAAACACTTCTAAAAGCTCATCCTTTCTCTTTTTTTATTTTTTTAGTAGTACGTTTGTGATGCACTATGGATATATTCACCGTAGTAAGCTGATACATATACATACAACGTCTTAACCCTCTTCACTTCCCCTGCCCTTCCCCAGTCCTCCCATCTCCGCAAAGTCTACCACTTTGTTTCCTATCACCTTTTAGTCCGGTGTTCAAACTATTTATACTTTGGGTTTCTCATAGAAGAGAAATCATGAGATATTTAACCATTTGCATCTAATTTTTTTTTCACTTAGCATTATGGTCTCCATCTATTGTTCTACAAATGACTTATCCCTCTTCTAAGGAAGGAATTGGTCCCTCTGTCAGTGGCTGCTGACAAGAGCCTTGACCTGAGAATCAGGAGGCGTGGTGCTCACCCAGCGCCCCTGCTTCCTGGCGGATTGCGCTGAACCAAGCCATTTGGGTTCACTGAGCCCCAGTTTTCTTCAGTAAAATATGAGTATTGCTCATAATCGCCTCTATGATGATCTGTAAAAGTGCCATACCCAAGCTCTGCAACATTACTTTTTATAATAATTCACGCAATCATATTTATCAATTCCTTTCCCTGTCAAGGGCTATGCTAGGATCTATGGGGCATAAAAAGAGGCAGGATATGGGACCCTTGCCTTTAAGCAGCTCACCTTATTGGGAAGAAAAATTTATGAAGACAATCAAGGCAGGGAATGAGAGAACACAATGCAATAGATCTAATTTAAATATGTAAGCCAGTTTTCTATATATTGATTCTGACTTTTACATTGAGTTACCTGTTTATTCCAGAGATGTATTTTCTTGGATATGAATAGGTATAGGTGTCTTAAGTCTTGCCTTTTGAGCTAATTAAACCACCCATCCTGCACCTCTCTCTTTCTCCTAGAGTTATTTTTAGTGATCAGAAAAGTTAAAGAAAAGGTGAGCAGTCTGAAAAGCAGGGTCTGATTAGTCAAAGAAAGCTGAAGGGAGTGAGAAATCATAGAGACCAACTACTTATCTTTCCAGGTGAAGATCCAGACTATTTGTGTGCCCCTCTGCTCCCAAGACAGCACCTTGAACAGCATGTGGTCTGGATGGGAAAATAATGTATTTCACATGATGGAAGCCATAAAGTCAAAAAGGGTCATACTCCCACTGTCAAACTCTTTTATAGTGGCATTAACCTGTTTATGAGTGTGGAGCCCTCATGACCTAAACACCTCCCTAAATTTCCCCATGTCCTAATGTTGCACTGGGGATTAAGTTTCTAATATAAGAATTGGGGTGAGGAGGTATTCAGACCATGTCAGATCCTGAGGCACAGAGAACACAGGTATTGTAGGAAGGTAAATGTCTAAGTCAGTGATAGAACTAGGCCTAGAAGCCAGATGCCTTGGCCACCAAACCTACTCCTTCTCCAAGTCCCTCATTATTTTGTTCCTTCTACACAGAAGGATAGAGAAGATACTTCTGTTGCATCCCAGCTAAACTTGCAAACCTCAGAGATGGATATGGCTAAATATTAAGCACCCTACTTCTAACTGAATGACTTGAGGAAAGTCGTTTAAATTCCCTAAACTTTAAATTTTCACAACAGTGCTCAATGCTCCTTCGCTGGTACCATTGTGTGGGTTAAGGATCTGGAGATGGCTCTCAGTGATATCAGAATGAAGTCTGCCATTGGCCATTAAGGCACCCCAGGAATAGCCACGCAGTAAGTCCTGCCCAAATCTCCATCCATGCTTGTCACAGATGCTAGTCCAGCCCTACGAACCTTCAAGAGCTCTTCCTGGTCCCCTGAGCTCCTGCCTAGGGCATGGACATCCATGAGAAGCAAGGCTACCCCCCCTTTTAACCAATTACTAAGCAGCTTTTTATTACCACATTAATTAACAGTGAAGCAGACAATTGGCATTAGCTTATACGAGCTGAAAAGTCATTAATAGTTCTTTTCACACTAGTTGTAGAACATTCATTATGATAAATCTTGATTTGAATGTAATTCTCCTTCATTTTCATTTATCCCTAGTGCAAGGCTGAAGGCATTTTCTTGACATATGGGGATTAGAAGGATTGAGCGGCTATGCTAGGCATACCTGAGACAAAGTAAATATTTATCGAATAGATGTATGGATTTAAGAAGTAAAAGGACAGATGAAAGAGTAAACGAAGGAAATTTGTTATATTAGCAGTAATGGACACAGGCTTTGATCTAATCAAACTCTAAGTAATAATCTCTAGCAATTCCTTTATATTGCCTAAGATTGTCACCCCAGGAAGCTTACTTCACTTCTCTGAGCTTGGGTTTCTCCTGTGCTAAGTGGAGATGCTAATGCCCACCCTACAGGGTTATTGCAACAATTGCAGATAGTGTATATGAAGTGCCCAACATAGCAGCTGGCCCATTTAGGAAATAGCAGTCACTACCCTCATTCATCGCCATCATCTTCTCTCACCCCCACCATCCTCCTCCTCTTCATTGCCTTCATCATCTCCATCATTTTTTTACAAAGCTTTACGGGCTATGATCAAAGCTAATCTTAATCCTTATTGGGAATATCACTTTCAAAAAAACATCAAATGCTATCTTTTGTGTGTATGTCTTTGAGAAACCTTTCATTCTGAAATAATTGCATTTCCAGACAGGACCCTTCATTGCACAGTCTGCAGAGTAATCACGGCAGTCACTGCCATGTTGAAAGGTTTCCAGGGCCCTGTGAAAAGATAAATAAATGCATGAGAACAGTGACTGTTCTCCCTCTGGTTCTGGGACTGATTACCATATTTACCTTTAATCACAAATCCACCCAAAGATTCTTTATGGGACTGTTTCCTGCATAGCTGAACCCAGTGGCACATCTTTCAAAGTCCGTGGATGAACAGCCTTTAGGGAAGGACAGTGTGGGGTCATGGGGTGAGGAACAGTCTCAACTCTCACCTTGGTTTTGTGTTCACTATTTGGCCTTCCTCTGCCTCAGTGTCTTCATTATAACACCTTCCAGGATTGTTGTGACAATTAAAATTATATAAACTAGTGGGTTAGTGGGTGTAAAGACTGCAGCAGTGCCTAACAAAATAGGTGGCTGGTAAAATGTCAGAGGATGTGCTAGAGGCCAGCACAATGCTGGGTGCCAGTTCTGGCCCATTCATCTCCCCATCATTGTGGGTTATCTTGCCATCAGTGTCCCTCCGTTTCTCTGTTGATCTACTTTCACGGAAGAATGCTTGAGCCAAACACCTACATATCCTCTACCATCTTTACACTTAAGCCAAAGAAAAAGGAAAATTTCTTTTTCTGAAGATAGTTTTTTTAACCTTAAGAGCCCATGTGACCCTGGAATTATAGCATCTTAAAATATTGTCTTAGTTACTTTTCATTGCTGGAGAAAATACCTGGCCCCCACAAGTTAAAGGAGAGTTTTATTTTGACTCACAGTTTGTAGAGGTTTCATTCCACAGTCAGCCGGCTCCAAACAAGGCAGCATGGCAGAGGGGCATTGCAGAAGAGAAACAGTTCATGGCATGGCAGCTGGGAAGCAGAAGAGAATCAAGGCCACGCCCCCAGGGACCCATCTCTTACCACCAGACTTCACCTCCCAACATCACACCCAGCTATAAACCCATCCGTGGACTAATCTAGTAATGAGTATCACCCACCCATGATCCAGTCACCTCCCAGAGGTCCCACCTTGAGCACATGAGCTTTGGG